AAGAAGGGTTTTGCACTCCGCGCATCGAGTGGTACTATATTGGAGGGTATATCCATGATTAGATGTTACTAGTGGGTAGACAGGTTATTTTCTTGGCTCTTGCATGGTGATACAGCCGCGCGCAAAAGTCTCATTCACGACAATCTGGCCCTCTGGTACACCACTCGCTACCCGCGCACCTCCCCCTGTGAGTAGGAGTGGGGGATTCAAATCATACCTAAACCTTACACCCTAAACATTACAGCCCAAACCTTAAACCCTAAACCTTAAGGCCCAAACCTTAAACCCTAAAACTTACGGCCCAAGCCTCAAAGCCTAAACCTTAAACCTCCAACCCCAGTTTCAGAAGGTGGCCCCGCTGGCCTGAGATCGATCATCGCGAATGAGGGGCGCACCCGGCCTCAATGGCTTAGATGGCCTAGAAGAATGAAGCCTCACTTGAATGATAGTGTCCCAAAGGCCCCAATATAGACCCCCAAATACTATACTCCTCATTATTGGGCACCCCAAAAAGAAACCCCTAATTTGGGGAAACACCCAAATGCTTGCATGCCCCTCCGCAAGCCCAAGGCAATTCAACCTGAGGACTCTGCCTCACTCGCTCGAAGTCGAACCCCTGAGGCTCGTAGAAATTGATTTCCATCGTGCTGCCCCAAACGGTTGGAATGAAAGTGACGGTGATGTCGCTCTCAGATCCTGCACGTTGCCTGCACCATGTTGAAAAAAGGTTGGGCGGATCTTGAGCTGCACGGGCAATATAGTATATTAGAGTATATTATAGTACAATATATAGTATATGACAATATGTTATAGAAATTTCTGGTATTTCATTGTATTTTACGTATATTCTATGAATCTTTCTGGGTTCAAATGACTGAAGGCTGCTGCGTGGTTCAATGCTTGGCAGGTCATGGGGTAAGCGTTGCTGAATGCCCCGGAGCCCCGCAAGGGGCCAATGGCTGGATAATTACATGATATGTACAGTGGGCCGGCACCGGCCAATTCCCCATTGTCCTCTTTTCCATCTAGGCGCTGAGAATTTAGGGTTTGGAAACTTGGGAGCCAAGGGGAACAGAAGGAAAGAAATCAGGAGGACTGCGCTACTTTCCGCAGCTTATACCGGTTCGTTTCCCAGAGAACCCGGGCAACATAATTCAATAATGTTCCTAAACTCTCCTGGGATTGTGGTATGATTTACGTACACATTCCATCAACGTGGGTTTGAGCTCCGTACCCACCTGAAGCCAGAGATGATGGTCGTCAAGTTATTGAGCAGGCCATATACCGGCCAACCAGGGACCTGTGTTTTGGGACTTTTTCATGGAGCTTTTGTAGACCTTTTGGGCGGGGTGAAGGCTTTGATGTTTTCATGCTTCAGTCAGGGTACGCGCCTACATCATTGCGAGAAAAGCCACTGCCATTCAGGGATTGCAGAAGATCAAGTACCGGTCAGCGAGATTGGCTGAATGATCTGCGGATTCTGTTGTATGGTGATGCGAGGGATGCCAAAATGAAAGTCCCAATTCCGGACCGACAACTGACTGGATTCAAACAAGGGCACGCCACAAATGACATGCTCTGCAAAAATCCTGTCCAATGGCAAATTTTCGTTCCTGACGCTTGACCTTTAGGCAGATATAACTTGTGTGGAACCTGATGCAACCCAAAACATTCGATCTGTGGAACCCACATCTTACAGTAGGTCCGCACACTTTGACTCTAGACTAGATGCCACTCCTTAGGTCAACCCCCCCTACAGTCATAGCCTCTAAACATGGAGTTAATATGGCCTTAACATGCCTACAATAGTCCCTTGTGGTACCAATTACTGGGTGGGGCATTGACACAAGCTACTCCCTGCATTAAATTCAACAACGCTCAAGGGGCAGCAGCTGCAGAGAAGAGCCTGCAAGGCCAAGAAGTATCAGCCCCAAAACCCAAACGGCCCCGAGTACTGTTGATACTAAAAATCTGCATGACCTTAAAATATCATAGTACCATAAATTCCCAATATATGATGTACTTAGGGTCATGCAGGATTTTAACTATCCTGCGGAATCCTGCGTATCATTATCAATGTTTATCAGTATTGTTGATATTCTCACTCCAATTACTACTATTACTAGTACCTGCCCCACACTTCGAAGGATCTGTATAAAGCGGATCCTACAATGCTGCGCATATCTAAGACCCCCAAATTCTAAAACGTATCTTGTCATCCCTGAACTGCTGTCCTGCATGATCGCTGTAGCAAGACTAATGATCTCCAACATGCATTCCCTCTGTCAAATCTCATCAGTTGAATCCTAGCCTGCTGGCTGCGTGTTGTGCCCAGTTTCGCAACTTAAGGCACAATAAAGGTTCCAAACATGGGCATTCCTCATATACAAAGACACCCACTGTAAGCCCCTAGATAATATGTGCGAGCAGTGCAGGGAAGCATACGATGAGAAATTAAACAGAAGAAGAAATCGTGTGAATTCTGGGATGTAGAACCCACTCAGGCATCTAGCGTCCCCACTCTCTATAGTAAACCCTAAACGCAAGAAGAATGTTGCTGGATAACACGGGGCTAAAAGGCTTTGAGATACGTTGATGGAAAAACAGTCATCAAATAGTCAGTATATACTAACAATAACAAAACAAATTCTCATAATGTACTAATAGCAATCTAACACTTCTTGTGCGGATTCCAATAAATGCAAGTGTACTACTCGTAAACTTGAATATAGTAGAAACAACAAAAGTAATCAAATAAGACAGCTGCTAATACATGAAATTCGACCCTAAACCCCAAACCCTAAACCAAACCCTAAACCCTAAACCCTAACTAGAGTGGACCCTGAGTAGGCCTTCTCTCCGGAGCTGGCGCCCAGTGGAGCATTCTCCACCAACTCCTGGTCGGTGCTTCAGGGCTTGGGGTGTACTTCCCTCACCCTAATAACATATTATAGTATACCACCATGGGGAGTGTTTAATATTCGGGGGGTGAAGGTGTTTCATATTAGGGGGAGGGGATTAGGGCACTTACTAGCAGCATTGCCTTCATCCTTAGAGGACTGTTTTACATCACGCCAAGAAAGATTGCACCTCTCGTGACATGAAGGAGACCTTAGGCCGTGAGCGAGTGTGGCAGGATGGCACTGCTGCAGCAGGACGAAAGTTCGCCGCACAAGTGCATCCTTGCGAAGTTCCTGCTAAAACCCCCTGCCCCGGTAGACTCCTCCATCAAGGCCCTCCGTCTGGAACAACTACGTAAAGTATTAAAGAAATCTATTGCGGTGGATTAATGGTTTTCCTCCGCTAGCCAGGCCAAGGAAAATGCAAATTAGTGTGCTCCGCGTCCTCCGCGCAAGGCAAGTACGCAAGTGCGACGAAACTTTACTCCTGGTGTTGAGGGCTAATTGCCATCCATCCTCTCCCAGAATATAGAGGATTGTGTAAGTATTGACAGCGGCCTGTGATGGGCTTACTCAACGAGGAGCCTGTGAAAATCTTACGAGGGTTCTGTGCAATGACTAGGATATGCCTGCTCTTTCTCTCGGCTAGGTACGGCACACTCAATCAGAAGAAAGCAAAACTGGCCATTGTATGTATAATTGTTTCAGACAGTCCATTTAAGCAAATCTGGGACCATTCCTTGTCTCTATAAGACACCGTGTAGGGTGAGGGTCAGGTGATTTTCGCCATAACTGGCCAGCCAAAACTTTCTGGTTGTTAGAATAAGGTATGGAGGAATGGATCCCTACAGAAGTCCCTATATCATCCTGCCAGTAACATGACATAGTAGTGTCTGTTTTCCTTTACGTTGCCTAGACCCACAACCCTGAATCAAAACCTTGAACTCCTAAACAATAACAATAATTCACATCGTCTTTTCCCTCCTTCAGTTCCAAGAATACGGAACAAAGTCTTCCCTGTTAGGAACCATGGCCTCACGGGGTCCCGTGTTGTTGCAGAGTTGATCACGGACAAGGTAAAGCCTTGGGCGAACTATCCAAGTTTAGGGTTTAGGGTTTAAAGCCTTGTGCGAACTATCCTATTGTAGAGAATCAAATGGAGAATAGCATGGAGATTGGGAGTTTGTAGGGACCTATGAGCTATAGTCTAAACTCCTACTAGAATCCCCGATCATATCCCCTAGAGTAGTCCCATATATAATCCCCTATGTAACCCCCCTTTAAGGAGTTAGTACCCACACTGGAAACCCTAAACCGGATTCAGGGTTTCGACTGGGATACTGTGGGTGCTCAATATTGGGCTCAGGGAAGATGGAAAATAAAATGGAAACTACTGTAGTATGTAGGGTATGAATTAGGGTTATATAAGGATAATGGAAAAGAAAATGGAAACTACTACAGTATAAATTGTCTGAATATGTAGGGGCCTGACCATGGGAAAAAAAAGGGAGAAGCAAATATGGAAACTCAGGTTGTCTAGGGGTTGTAATAAACCAGCCAAACAGAAAGTATGAAATTTCAAAATAACCCGAAACCCTAAACCTGAATGATAAACCCTAAGCCCCCAAGAGAGGTTCAAGCCTTGAAGCGTAGCTCCGTTTCATGCTCAAGCACCGGATCTGTTGCCATGTGGGAGATGTTGACCTCCAACATAATTTTCCAAATGATAATAGGTATAGTAATCATCGTAGAAATTGTGACAATACTGCAAACAATCAGAACAATAATAGTAGTGATAGCAATAGGGACAATAGTGATAATGTTCATGACAGAAATAATTGCAATAAGAATAAAAACAATAATAGTACTAGGGTTCAGACAATCTTGCTGCCCACTGATGGACTCTAAATCTCAGCATCGGACAATCACATAGCATTGGACTTCTGCACCAGGAGTGCACCGACACTCGGGCTCCACGTCCTCCCTCAAAGGTCTGAATGTCGTGGGCCACCTCCAGGGTTAGGGCTCTAGGGCTTTAGGGTTAAAGGTTTAGG